CACCTCCGGGGCAAGCGGGAATCAAACTCATGCGGAAGTGGCTTTAGCTTCTCAGTGCTGTGCTTTAACCCGCTGCACCACCAGGGAGGGCCCAAGTACATGATGTTTTGTGTCCTCTCATTAAACTCATGAATTGTGCATTAAATGAATATGTGAATGAATAATAGAGTGAAAGGAATTTAAATCTAGACTTTATAAACATTGTTTTTCAGAGTATGTTTTTAAGTTGGTCATGATCAACCATACTTATTTTTTCTTTTCTCCTCCCCCTCCTTGTATCTACAGACGAAATCTCACAAAACTGTCTCTTATCTTCAGTCACATGCTGGCAGAAATCAAAGCAATCTTTCCAAACGGTCAGTTCCAGGGAGATAACTTTCGAATCACAAAAGCAGATGCTGCTGAATTCTGGAGAAAATTTTTTGGAGACAAGTAAGTAAAAATTATTTTATAGTTTGGACCCATCTTTGAAAGACCTAGATCCATTTGTAGTTTCAGATGGTAGAGAGTAAAATCATGATGTAGTGTTTTGAGAATTCACTTGCTTGTTTTGATTTTCTTTTGTTTAACCAAAAGTATACCTGAATAACTAGCTTTGTGTTACTACAGAGTAAAATCAGTTATATGACATTTATTAAATTAGTATTCATTAAATACTTTGCTCTAAGAAGCAGAGTTGCATAAGGACAACACATCTCTATACAAGAAAGCTCAGAACTTTGATAACTTGGTACACCCACAAGACAAGATAAAAAGACAAAAAGGGGTAGATACTTTATAAATGGTATTATAAGCTTGGTTAAGATCTGAAATTGAGAGAAGATCTTAACACCCCACCCAATTCAGGTTTTCTTTGTTTTATGCAAAAACAGTACACATGTATAGACAAGATGTAGAAATGCAGTTGATGTGGTCACAAAGTAGGATTACACCACAAAAAAAGTAGCTAACTAAAGATGAATCCTGGACACAAACTGGCAATCCTGGTAAATAATAGGAACTGAATGTCTAAAGTCAGCGTGACTATAACTTGCAAAAATCTTTTGGGAATGCCTCAGTAACATGATCGAGAACTAAGCAGCAGGAAGCAGAGGTTCCCCTTTGGTGAGAGAGCACCCTTAAAATTTTCTTGGATCCAGGCAGAAACCTGGCTGGGTATTATGGAGGAATAGTGATGGCCTAGACGTTGATTATTGTTTTCATTCATTACTTCAAAGTCTGTATTCATACATTAACTGATGAAATAAGACATACGAAATGTTTATAAACACTTTTAATGGTCTTGGTCCTCAAATGATGTGAATTAAATATAACATTGGGTTCCCCCCTTTTTTCCCTTACCCAGAGTAATGTTTGTGCCTATAGCTACTGCCATGATTAGAATTTATATACAAAGCAATTCAACTTTAGAGACATAATATTTTTTGGTTTTAGAATATTGAAGCCTTTTCTCTACTTCTCAAATAAAATGCATTCTGAATTATCTCTAGGCATTTAAGGAGGGAATACTGTATTTCCTTTAGCACTAACATTCTTATAGGAATAATAGAATGTTCATATGTCTGTTTACAAATGAGGAGCTAAAAAGTTTCATACTTACTTGAATTAGAATAACAGCCAAAAGTATCTAATTAAATACTTGTGAATGGTAAAAAACAGAAAGTGATTGCCAACTACTGGAAGTAAGAATTGAGAAGATTTCTTGACATTTATAGTTCATATATTAACACTAATGCAAGCAATCTGTAACCTTTATCTTAAAAATTTTAAAAAATCTCTTAAGACAAACTGTGGTATTTCTTTTTTGAAAACTAAAAATAAACTGGTTGTCAGTAGATCAGTAAAAATGGAAAGATTGTTCATACTTTTTTTCTAGAGAGCAGTTTGTTTTTCTGGCACCTTAAGACACAAAATATTATGCATTTGAAACATCTTTATTTCCCTTTATTTATAACCCTAGACAATAAGCGGCTAAAATTTCTGTTCAGCTGCTACTGAGTGAAAATCATTACTAAATATAATTTTAATTAAGTGCTCAGTTTCCCAACTCCTGTATCTTTGTCTCCTACCTTTGCTTATTTGAGAAGCTGATTAATTCATCTTTAACATTTTTATTTTAAGGATGAGGACCAAATATAAAGCTCCCTTTGGAACTCAGACATATTTCAATAGTCATCAAATTAATGATTCTTTTATTAGATCACTGGAAACACCAGCTTTATATTTCCAGTGGGGTTTCACCCTACAGTTCCACAATATTTTATTGAATGAATGAAAAAAAAATGAATGATAGTCTTTAATACATTTATATTTCTTGTGCTTTTAATACTAATTTTTATTTTCATAATTTATTTGTCACATGGAAGCACCCTGTCACCTCTTTTGCTTCATGTTAATGCTTAATTAATGGTGAAAATGCTTTCATTTGACCTAACCCCTGCCTTTGAACTTGAAAATGGTGTTATTTCCAAAAATAAAACTATTGAGAGGTTAGTTCAAAAAAGCAGTCAAACAGATTATGGTTTTCATGAAGAGACTTTTACTTTGAGCATTATTACTATTTACTCCAAGAGATACCAATCACAAGAACAATATTGAGTTAAAACTGGGGCGGGGCTGGGGCAGGGGCAGTTATTGTACACAGGACTTTGTAACACTCCTAAAGGCAATTTGAGGCGTCAGGCATCATAAAAAACAGGCAGCAGACAAAAGTATTTAGTTGTTTCATATGCTATGTTTCATTGCTGTACTTCTCAACCTACTTTAAGTTGTGGCAGTGGCCATGTTGCTGTTCAAGACCAGTGCCAGACTCCCACTGGGACCAGTAAGCCCCCCTGTGCCACAGTATACTGGTTAGATTTCTAGGCAGATCCCTTGATGATCTTAATACTTGAGTTCTGTTTTTGCCTTTAGACTGTTGACCAGACTGTTAGAAATATGTAGGAAAAAGGAAGTAAACTTGAGTATGTGTGTGTGTGTATATATGTATGTGTATATATATACATATATGTGTGTGCATATATATACACACATACATACACAAAAGTAAATTTCAGCAAAGAATTTTCACACACTGGATTAGTAGTTTATAATCCAGAAATAGTAAGCCAGAGGCTCAAGTAAGGTATCTCTAGCTGTTAAAAAAATATCCATTAATATGATTGGATCTGGGTTACAGTTGTTTTCTAAGCATATCGCATAGCAGTGCCCATGACTAGTGCTGAGCATTCTTGACATCGAGATGCTTTAGACATGAATGTCCAGCCAAATTATAATTCAGAAGAATAATGGAATCAAACTCCCTGAATCTTTTTATGCATCTTCTCTGTCCCATCCTGACTTTATATCAGGTTTCTAGTCTTTAATTTCAAATTTATGTTTGAATTGTTCCCTGGGTTACCCCAACAGCCTCTGATTGGTCCACTTGTCTTCAGTAGCTACTGGTGTACTCTCTAAAAAGCAGAACTAATGACTCAGTGTTTTGCCTGAAGTGCTTCAATTACTAGTTATTGATTGTGGGATGAAATCTAAAAATTTTATTAACACAACAAACTTTAGGAACTGCTTTGCAAGTTTCATCTTGTATTCAGCTCTTCCTCAAAGAATAAGCCATTCAGCACCCTACTTAAGCCCTGACATGCTTTTTTTTAATGCCTCCGAGTCCTCCTCTCCCTATCTCGTACCTTTATTGTGGTCTCCCATGTCCTACCTAGTGTTCTACTTCAGGAGCTTCCCTTGACTACCCTCATCCGAAGTGGGTGTCCCTACTCTGTGCTTCCAGGAACTTGTGCTCACATCTGTCCCACTAGACTGCCTTAAACAGCTAGCATGTTTGCAGTGCATTTTCTGCTAGACTGGACAGGTTCCTTGAAGTTAGGAATCATGGCAAACTAATTTTTGTTTTTCAGAACCAGGCACACATTTCCTGGAATGTGTCAACACTAATACATGGTAACCAACTCTCTGAATAATTGGATAGGTGCATGATGTCCTCTGCTTAAAATTTTTAAATGATTTTATTATCTCTAGATTGTTTTATTGTCATCAATTCCTGCAGGTTCACTCCTGCACTTTCTTACCCTCACTCTTCTGCCATCCCAGAATTGTGACACTCTTCAAATCTAAGAAGTTAGGTTTTCTGGGTTCTCTGACTAATAACCACCACCCCATATGTCTACTTGTAGTTATTCCATGCTTCTTTTCCTGTTCTCTTAGATACACTTAAGTTATTGACTGCAAATTTACTATGTGGATCTTTACTGATTTACTAAGAAGCTCCTTAACTCTTTCATTTTTCTGTGTCTCTGTTCAATCAAAATTTCCACTTAATGATTTTTATTATTTCTAGTACAAAAGTTCCTGTTAATCCCCTAATGCTCATTTCCCTACATCATTGTCATCATCATCATCATCGTCTTAAATAGTTTCAGCAAGAGTTGAGAGAATTTTGTTTTCAAAGATTATGTTGTCTAGCTACCTGACTTTCCATTAGACTGTGTGCTCCATGCCATCAGAATTTACCTATTTGTAATGCATAGTAGTGTTTTTATATCCTGTAGTAGTTCAACAGTGTTTTATATTTAGACTTCAGACTGTTGCTGACTCAGTTCAGATAAGCTGAAAATGAGATCTACTTGTGGCCCCTGTGCATGTGTGAGGTGGGGACAGAGCTTGTGTGTTTAATAGGGAGGCGACGTGCTTGGGGTAGACATGTGGGTGGGACATTTGTGTTCAGGTTCTGACTAAGACACTTAGTAGCTTTGTCACTTAAGGCAAGTTATTTAGTTTATTCATCGGTGAAATATGTGTAATGACGATAAATACAACCTGAGGTTGTTGCAAAGGTTAATAATTAAAATCAACTGTGTCTGATGTGCACACAACAGCAAGACTCTTGTAGCGTGTTTAACCAATTTAAATCCTTAACCTTGATAGTAGACCTGTGAGTATATTTATTATTAAATCACAAATACTTAATTTTCTACTTTGTATGATGTGGGTACTACAGTCCATAGAAACCTAAAAACAAAACAAAAATTTAAAGTTTTCCAAAGTATGTAAATCTGTGTAAAAGTAGGGGAGAATGCCAAAACTGTCCTGCTTACCATGGGGAATAAAAGATCCATTTATAGCTCAGTTCATTGCTTCTACCTTTGATTTCCTGGGGAAGTGGTATGGAGCCTCTTTGGTTTCCTGTATTCTCCTTTCACTTTTAGTAAGAAACAAGGGACAATGGGTTAATTATCATTCCAGTGAACTAGATATGCTTACTTAATAACTAGATCAGCTTTGCTTTTAGTCAAATAAAATGTAACTTATTCATATTTAACTAAAGAAAGGGGTAGACAGTAGAAATGAAGAACTTTACAAGGGAACTGCAGCAGGAGTTCTAGAGAAAAAGAACTGAAATAGACCTCAAGCAATCACTGCTT